TTAAAATATGTGAGTGGGGCCCCTGGGCAGAGCATTGTCTGATACAATACATCCTCGGAGACCCAGGGGCAGTCGGGTCGGGAGAAAAGGCGCGACGAAGAGGATGGATGCAATATCGTTATTTTCTAAGCAAATATGTTCACTCACCCAGCGATTCACGTTAATTTTGAAGAGGGGAAGAAAGGAAGAGGAGAAGGGGTTCAACAGAAAGGAGGGAGGATCCCAGTAGCGAGTTCAGAAATTATTGAAAGAGGGGACGGGGACTTGTGAGCTCTTATTCATTTTAATGAATAAAACTTTGAAAGCATCTCTGCCAAAAACGAGGGTTCAAATCTTACAGATAATTCAATAAGATGGCGTGGTGATTCGTTGAACTTTGTAGAACACGTGACATCAGGTGATTCATGCTCAGCAGCCTGCCCACGCAGTACCACGAGCGGTCGTCCTTCCTTTCCTCAGAACCATGCGCGGAGAGCGACAAGAATAAAATTATGCAAATCAATGGTAAAAAGGAGGGGAGTCCCGCCCTCGTTCCAAAAAAGGAAGGGGATGGGGGAGGGTTTGGCCCTCGCGCGTACCCTGCTAGCAGAGTCGCTTCGATCTTTCCTAGATGAAATATGGAAGCGACTCTGCTAGCATAACCTGAGATCAAGAGTTTTTTTTTTTTTTGCTTCTTTGTTTCTTTGGCTCGAGAGTAGCCTGTTCCAAGCGTTGGATAGTGGTGGTACGAAGTAAAGGAAGCGACTTTTACTTCGCACCGCTCCCCGCTATCTGAACGACTGGAACAGGCTAGCTCGAGAGCGGAGAGGGAAAAAAAAGTGAGAGACATAAAGGGATAATAGGGAGAGGCAGGAGCCAATCGGCTCCTGGGAGAGGGCATGATCTCAGGCTACTGCTAGCAGGGTACCTCGCGCGCAGTCTTGCTTCCAAATTCTCTTCTCTCACGCAGGCTGGTCGAATTGACGAAGCCTAGACTTTGTCAAACTCCTTCGCTTCTCATTTCCGGTTCCGGTAGTTCCAGCCCTCGTTCTTTCTAGTTTCTCGCCGCAGAAAACATAAAAAATCAACCGCTCGTACTTCGCACTTACGAAAGACTATGAGCTCAACTTGTAGGCAAGTCTAGACGAAGCCTAAATAGCGTCTTCAACCTAGACTGCGAGCAGTCTCTTATTTTTCATTTGAGTCACGGATATCGAGAGCACGCGTGAGGGACGAACGGCAATCGCCACGCATACTGGTAACTCAAGTAACGTAACGGAACGAAACGGAAACGTGACGTAGATGCATGTGGCGAGAGGCCAAGTTGACCCTGCTGGCACCATGGAATCTAGGGCAGGTATGTAGTACAAACTACAAGTTTTTTTTGTTTTTGTTTTGTTTTGTTTTGTTTTTTTTTTTAATCTAAGTATCCAGTTTATACTGACTTTATTTTCAGTTTATTGACGTCCTCCAGATGGGACCAAGTTCTTAATGTACTTGCTGACGAATGTCGAAATATTGATATCTATCACTTATACTCGTCTTAAAAATTGAAATCGCAGCCTGTTTGACTTACCTGTGAACAGGCCCCCACTGTTTTAGAATGGTGAAAAAAAATTATGGCTATGGTAATCTAAATTTCAGCGCAACTTCAAAGATTTCTATCGAAGGTCATCGAAGGTTGTTCTTTCGACCACATTGGCACTGTGCTAGAGTGAATGATGAGTCCTGTAAAGTTGTTCAGTTCTAGATACCGTAAAATTCCGAAAATGAGCCCCTCCAGTGCCGTAGCCAGACCAAACGGCCAACCGAGGCAGGCGGGAGTTGCTAGGGGGGTTCGGGGCATGCCCCCCCCGAGAAATTTTGAACTTTAGTCTCTCAGAAATGCGATTTGCAGCGTTTTCTGGGCCTTTCGGTAACTTTTTTTCGAGTTAATTTAAGTGGAATTTAAAAAGCAATAATCAGAAACAAGCTACATAATCTGGGTGACCGTTAACCTCGCCAATGGTTTTGATCAGTATTTGTTCGAAAAAAATTTGAGTTAACGTACGTAGCCCCTCGAGATCGATGATATGGTAATTTTTTCATAGGATATTGACTGAATTGCTGAATTCTCTGTAATATCATGATGCGTTGAAAATATGCGATGATCGCTTATGTAAAATAAAAATGATCGGCGAAATTCGTCAAAATTTTAGCGGTTGGCCTCATACTAGCTACGGCGCTGCCCTCCGTGTATAAGCCCCTCCAAATATAAGCCCCCCAAACTCGTAACGCAAAAAAAACCTCCGTTAAATCGCCCCTGCAAATATAAGCCCCCGGGGTTTGTTCTTGGAAAATGCCCTCAAATAAAAAGTAAAACAAAGCAAAAACGGTAAATTTCCTTTCAACTATAAGGCTAGCCCAATCGATTTTGTAACGCAAATTTCCCTCCATAGATAAGCTCCTCCGAATATAAGCCCCTCCAAAAATAAGCCCCTGATATAAAGGGCCTTTGAAAAATATAGGCCCCCGGGGCTTATTTTCGGAATTTTACGGTAAGTCAACTCCTATGGCGTTACCATTCAAATGAAACCTCTTTGGTAGTACACTGTACTTTCACATGGTGTTATTTGTTTTTCGGCATGATTTTTACAAAATAAAATTTGGAATTTTGTCTGAGGGCGCTTTCCATAAATCAGAACTGGCCAGCTGGACCGTGGCCAGACCAGGCATTTTGGCAATGAAGTAGGCGTTTTCCAAGAGGTTTTGCTGAAAAACCATCTCCTTTGTGCATAATGTTTAGGATTTGACTGATCTGGTTGGTTAGGGTTGATTAAAAGTGAAATTCTCATTATGGTGGGAGTGGGCTAGCCGGACAGTTCTGACAAATGGAAACCGCTCTAAGTTTGACTAGGCCAGCATTGGAAGTCAAAGGGTCAGGTTAATGCTTAAGTCAATTAAAACCCCACCCCTCTGGACCTGGGATAGATAGGGGAATCTGCTTGGGCCATGGCTGTTTCTTGCCATGATCAATGATCTTAGAGTTCCACGTTCACCACTCATTAAAATTTGCTGACAACTCCACCATCTTACAGTAATTTTCAACAAGCAGTTGACCACATGAACAATATGGTCCTAGTAAGAAAACCGTCTCCAACTGAATCCATTCAAGTGCAAAGAATTATTGCTAACCTGTTTCAAGTGTCAACTCTTGTTGAATATATGCTAAAGCTGTTGAGATTAATGGATATACCTGGGGGGAGTACTGCCATATATAGGCTATATATATAGGTATGTGCCGCTGTGAAGGGTATGGTTTTCAAGCAGTTTACTCTAGGATAGGGTATATAAATCAGAGCGTTTGGGTCTAGAATAGGGTATCATTTTTCAGGAAACTGATCAGTTAGTTGAAGATTTTATCTAGACTAGGGATTGTGGTATAAGGTTTTGTTTTGGCTAGACTGTGCTAGTGACCACAGTAGTTTCTGGGAAACAGCTATTCTAGGATAGGGGGATTTGGGGAGTTTACTATAGTATAGGGTAGCAAAATTCAGCTGAACTAGCTCTGGTATAGGTTAAGGGTTCCAGGGTCCCAGCTGCACATCCCCTTCCAGAAATTCCTAAAGTACCCCCTCCCCCCCCTCCCCGGGTGGATATACCATTTTAAAATGTTCAGTTACCCAAAGTCCTTAGTCTTACTTTACAGAACAGTTTAAAATGAAATGATCGGATAGACAAACTAAAATTGAAGGTGGCCAAAGGCTTATACCTATTATGTCAGATCAAGCACACTGGTATCAGTTCAAGGGACTTGGTTTTATTTTTATTGCTGTAGCTGTTATTTGATGCTTTGTAAAGTATATTTGCCAGGTGTTTCACCATGGCCTCCCTGGCTATCTTTCTTCCTGATGAGATTGAGCAAATTCATCATATATTCCCTTAACTTATCAGCAAGAAGGCACTTGAAGTATAGCTGGCATCCCCTTCTTTATAGGAGATAGGCATGAAAATCTGTCATCTGCTTTATTTCAGAAAATATTGAGCAACAAAGACCACGAGCTTGCCTCTCCCTCTTACCCCCAAGAACCAATCAGCACACTCTGCTACTTAACAAACATCATTTCAATGCTGCTGCTTTCAGAACAAACAGATATAGGACCCCCTTTATCATCAGCCACTGCTTAACTGACTTGATTGCCAGACTACTTTCTGTACTTTTAGCATGACCTCATAAATATAATGATATTTTTTAGTTTCAGTGTTCACTCATCCTCGGAGACCCAGGGGCAGATAAAGGGGGCGAGGGAAAGTCTAAACGGGCGGAAAAATATATACGGAACGAAAAAAAGTAAAGAATGGCGAGAAAAGCCCCTGGGGACAATGTCTTACCAGACTAGTTCCAAACGGTCGCCCCCGTTCTGGCTTCTGATTGGTGCCAGAAAACTTGTGTTTTTCTGGCACCAATCAGAAGCCAGAACGGCGGCGACCGTTTGGAACTGGTCTGGTAAGACATCGTCCCCAGGGGCTCTTCTCGCCGTTCTTTACTTTTCTTCGTGCCACATTTTCCCGCCCGTTTAGACTTTCCCTCGTCCCCACTATCTGTCCCTGGGTCTCCGAGGATGGTGTTCACTGTGTATACATTTTGTTATTTATTTATTTTTCTATGTAACAAACATGCAATTCAGTTAGACGGCTGCCACATATAATTTAGGTCAAATAAGAGTTTTTGTTTGATTGCTCCAACCCAGAACAAATTTGTTTCTCTGGACTTTCAAAAACATCAAGCAGCCTACCTAAATGAAAATGCAGTGGCATAAAAAAGCAACAAAACATGCATGTATGTAGAAACTGTCAATTAATTTCCTTGCAGTTGGAGGAGTCTAGATAGCACTTTTTGCCAGGTCAAGTTCTGGGATGTGGCCTTTTGTGGGACACCAGCAGAACATTCTTTTCAACCAACAAACCAAGGCTCATGCAGAGTTGTTTTTTGAAAGACAGATTTTTTGAACCCCATAGATCTACCATTATTTTCTGTCTGTATTTCTTTTGCAGAGAAATATTTGAATTTCTTTAAAGCTGTTGTGGAATTGCAGTCTTTCCCTGTTGCTGTGGTTTATTTCATCCTTATTGTAGCATCTTTGCTGTGGAAGAAGTTCACTTCACCTCTAGGATTGCACAAGGTGGCTTTTCAAACTCTTAAGTTTTTGCCAATGATTCATTTTCTTGCAGTGTGACCACCTAACTAACCAAGGCCACCTAGACAAATTCTACCAACCTGATCACCGGAAATTAAATAACAAGCGGGACGTTGGGGTTTATGGTAGCTGTGTGGTATCAAGCTTTTTTGCAAAGACTGGATTTCATTAATTTTGATTTTAATTTGTGGTGTTGTGTTATCATCTAGCCTTGTGGTATGCGGTTTCAATGTTTTGGCTCATGGTGTTGGGTAAAGAAGTCATCCTTCACTGTATTGCTGTACTGTTCATTTTTGCTCTGACTCCTGTCTGATACACATCAATACAACATGCAACACAAAACACAGTAAGATGTACATGCAAGTCAATAAAAGTATAATATATGTAATATGCATACTGAATATTAATGAGTTATTAAATTTTCTTTTATGGTTTGTTTCAGGTGCTAGTGGGCTATAACTTTCTCTGCAGTGTACTCAGTCTGTACTCTTTGGCCATTATTCTAAGGGCCTATTATAATGCTGGCTTGCTTTACACATTTGCCATGGTGCATGATGCTGAAGTAAAACATGCATTCCTTATCTACTGGATCACCAAGCATCTTGAGTTACTGGATACTGTGTTTATGATTGTAAGACACCGGCAAAGGCAAATAACATTTCTACATGTAAGTTGCAGTGTGCAGTAATACTATTTTCCTCTTTGCTTAATTCTAGCAACTGGACTAAGTAATTAGGACAGCAATCAGCTGGCCTGGCATTTGTGTAAAAGGGAATACGCTGTACAGTGGAACCCGGGTTAATATGGACACCAAGGGGACAAGCTATTTGTATCGATATTAAGCAGGCTCTCAGAAAAAACTATACCTCACAGAGACATCGTTTTAATCTATATAAAGACTAAGCAGACATTTCAACAAGAGAGCTTTGCTTAATTTCTTAGCTATAACTGATACATGTTCTTCCTAAAGAAATCTAAGGATCATATATTATAGTCACAGACTAAGGTCCTGATAACATGGAGGTAAGGGACCCCAGATAGGTGAGGTAACAGGTGGTGGCCGGGTCACCCCACCTGTCATGTAAATGTGATTAAGTTAAAATAAGTAATTATATGGACAGGCAGGTTACCACACCAAAGCGGGTTACCTCATGTACCTGGGGTCTGGCGCCCACCTCCATGTAAATTAACAGGCCCTGAAATTACGGTCGAATCCCGATAACTCGAACCTTCAAGGGAAATGGAAAACAGTTTGAGTTATCAGGAGTTCGAGTTATCGAGGGTAAAATTATATAGAAAACGATCTGAAGGGAAATGAAAATTTCTTCGAGTTAGCGAGAGGTTTGAGTTACCGGGAGTCGACTGTACCTTTTTAAGTATAGCTCTTGAAACATGAGAATGGAGACTGTCTGTAACTTAATTAACCTTTGTACTGACGCTTTAAGGTCACCTTGGGCTCATTGTTATGCATTTATTTAAAGTGTATGCACGAAGTACAATGACTGATATCAACAGGTTTGATAGTCATAACTAGAAAAAAGATGAGTGCATAATTATTTTAAATTAAAATGTTCACGTGCACGTGTGGCACACAGACTGCAAACAAAATGTTTATTCAAAAGTAACAAGCGGGCTCTGAATCATCCTTGGAGACCCAGGGGCAGTCAGTCGGGCTGGGAGAAAAGGCGCGATGAAAGTTTTCAAGCACGGGCGGAAGAACCCCTGGGTATGGACTCGGTCAAGCAAATACTGGCTCCTGATTGGGCACAAGAAATGCTTTGTATTATTGTGCCCAATCGGTGAACAGCGTCTCCTGAGTTCTTTTTGTGAGTTCGTACATGACTATTGACTCGATCACAGCTTGTCTGGCTCATGCACCAAAGAAATGCACACAGTCAGGAAACTTTCAGTTTGATATAAACTCTCCATTTCAAAATACTGTCTACCCGAAAACTAAAGACGCTTTTGCAAAAATACAAGCTTGAGCGTTACAACAGGTATTCACGCTTGCATCGATCATGTCTTTGTAAAAATTAGGGAGTTTAAGATGCCACAACAACTGACAGCCACGAAAACATCACATGAAGAGTGAATTCACATTTTTTCAGTCTCTATCATGATTATTCCAACTCACTTACTTTATTAAATGTAAGCGAACTCTTCTGGAGCTGAATTTCTATCAACCATATCCAACTTCATAAAGAGAAAGAAACCCTTGTCACTCATTGCTTGTTTACGTCCTTCACAAATCTTGAAACTAAGCATTTTCACGTGGTAGTCCTTCAGTGACGGCAAAGAAATGTACAACAAAGTGTGATGCATGTGCAAAGTTGTTGTTTTTCCTTGTCGAGCTGTTACTTTTTTTGATTTCTTGTTGCCGACGCATCTTAAACTTCCTATTATTTACGATACATTGTGATCCATCAGAAACTGAATTTTCTCAGTGCAAATTAAATTGTTCCTGCTGATAGCATCCGAAATGTTTTTCCACTCATCGGTAGCTCCTTTGTCTGGTTAGGAAAGCTTGGTGAACGAACCGCGCAACTGTGGCAAGATAATAGCTGTCGTGTACGAACTCACGAAAAGAACTCAGGAGAAACTGTTTGCTGATTGGGCACAATTATTACAACCTTTTTTTGTGCCCAATGAGGAGCCAGCATTCGCTTGACCATTTGGAAATGGTCCTGTGAGAGTCAGTACCCAGGGGCTTCCACCCATACTTGAAGACTTTCATCGCGCCTTTTCTCCTGGCCTGACTGACCTCCCCTGGGTCTCTGAGGATGGCTCTGAATCAAACCTTGTTGCAGTGATTTTTAATAACATGTACATAAAAATAAGGAAATCTTTAGAAATTTCAATCAAATTTAATACCGAAACTCTTTGTACATTTTTTTTTTTGCCTCAAAGATCCTTGAAAACATCGCAGCTTATAAACAAAAAATTTAAAAGCATCGAATGTATTTAATTAACCGTAATTACCATATTTACATATCTTGCTTGGAACTAGTGCTTTAGTTGGGACACCTTTGGGAGTCTTAAGATTTGACTTTTGTCCAAGAATTCAGCACAGATACAAAACTTCACGAGCTGGCACTGCAGAGGGTTACAGTTGGTAGACTAGTGTGTTATGTTTTGAGCGGAATTAATTTCAGGGATGACAGATTTTGCTCATTTAAATGATTATATCTTCCTGGCAAACTTTAAATTGCAAAATCTGTTCAATATATGACATACTAGATGTTTTGACTGATCATTTATGAATAAGTCTGTCCATATGTATGTGCACCCCTTCATGTAAGCTGAGGTGGCCACCCAGTCTTTTAGAGAGAAAAAACAACATCAATTTTGATGTCTACACTGACTTTAATAACAGAGAAAGAGCCAGAGCAGGGGGTTTCAAAAAGCAGCGACGCTGACGAAACGCGTCAGCTACTTCGCTCATGGAAGTCGGCTCCTTTTTTCTAGAAAGAAGATCGAAGCAACTGTTTTGAATAACATTGTAAACAAAAAATATATCAAAAAATTTGAATGAAAACGTAATTATGATGTGTTTTCGTAAAGGCCCACTGGTTTTATGTTATGCCTTAGTCATGTGAACGCTATATTTCCAGTCAATTTTCCCAGGTTTCTTTGTAGGTTAATTTACACAGAATTTGTTAACATGCAAAAGTATGTAATTTAGTTTTCATCACTTGTTCATTGTTTCTAGGAGGTGATTGTGACTGATAATTCAAAAGTTGAATGAAAGCTAATGTTTTCTTGAATGATAACCATGCTCTTTTTTCCTCAATTTAGTTCCCAGAACTCTGAAAATTGCACTTTAGGGCTTTGAAATGTCCTTTTGTTTCTTGGGAAGCACACCCTAGACACCCCCCACCCTCTTTCCCCTAGAAAAAGGGAGTAACAGCCCCTTTTTGATACGGTCAGCTACTCTATTCAAGCCTGCTGGCTACTTCAATTTTTATTGAAATCCCTACTAGAGTGAGAGATAAAAACAAAAGAGGTGAATTTCGCTGGAAGATAAAGGATGAAAATTTTATTGCAGCAGCGGGGAAATAAGAAGTGCTTTTGCCCACAAAGGTCGAAACGGGTAACTAGGAAGTTTCACGTTGTAGTGGTGCAAAACTGCGGCAAAGAAATTGTCCAAAAAGGTGTGCTGCACATGCAAAGTTGTTGTTCTTTTTGCTAATTAAACCTATTGATTTTTGCCATTCTTGTTGCCATCACCATTTAGCATGCCATTATCTTAGTTTTTGTTTGAGTAAACCATAAGTATATTAATGAGCGCTTTGCTTCTAGCCCTGGCTAAATCTATATCTTATCTTGGTAAGCAGGTTTCTCTTGACCGGGGTTCCACTGCATTGAACGCAGTAACATAAAAGCTAGTAGTAGTTTACAAGCTTGAGCAAGACAGAAATAGGTGATGATGGATACAAGTTATTTTGGAAATCTTCCTTTTGGGTGTTTTATCTATGACGTATTTCTCTTTGAGGTACCCCATGGGAGTATGTGGTCATGTGGTCCCTGTTTAAGATGAATGGCTTTACATTTTTTTTTTTTTTGGTGTATAGCATTTATGCCAACTCTTTTGCTGTATCGTCCAACAGTTTAATCCCACATAGGGCACAAATCCGCCAATCACCCTCACATGACCACCAAATCTCCTGGATAAAATAGCTTTTGTATGCTTCAGTTTGGAATTTAGCCCATTTTTTCTATGATCTTCAAAAATGTTTTCACTCATAGCACTGTTTCTGTATCATTTTTGCATGTATTTAATTACTGACAAGTCACTAGAGCAATGTATTTCTTCATAGAAGTAAATTTTTGTAGTCTCTTATGTTGGGGGAGGGGGGCTGGGAAATAGATAATATGTTGAGTGAATAGGGGTTACTGTAGCTTACAGAATGTTGAGAAAAGTAAGGAATATTATGTAGACATGTATAGGATGAACACCATCTATAGTCAATACAGAACCTGCTATTGGGCATTTATATAAATGAGAAGTGAAGCAAATAGCTAATTACGACATGGCCATAAATGTGAACATATATCTAATTACAACATGATAAGAATTCTAGAGAATATAACTAATATCTTTTTACAGGTTCTGTACTGACAATGGATGTTGTTTATCTGAAACATGTCTACAGAATTTAAAAGTCAACAGTCATAACTTTTCTCAAAATATTATTATTTCTTTCCTGCTGGCACTATGAAAAATTTAGCTTAAAGAATCAATATGAAGTGTAGTTAGGGCTTACCCTACCTTTGTAATTATTTTTGTGTTTTTTTAGGTTTACCATCATGCTTCAATTTTGTTGTTAAGTGACTATGCATACCACCACACTCCATGGCCAGCAATTGGTGTGATGTTGGGAATGAACTCATTTGTACATGTATTCCTTTATTTTTATTATGGCCAATCAGCTCTTTACCCAACTCAAAGACCACAATGGAGAAAAACCTTGACACAGCTCCAAATGTTTCAGTTTATTGTTGGCATTGTGCACTCATCGTTTGGTTATGCTCATCATGGATTCTGCATTTTTAGTATATTTTATGGTTTTAGTATGCTGGGATTATTCGGAAATTTTTACTTTCATGCTTACGTTAAAGCTAGGCATGACAAAAAAAGTGAATGAGCCAATGTCGAGCGGTTTGTATTGTAATACAATTTTTATGGCACGATTAACTTCAACTTTTTATTTATAATTCTGGACTTTGAATTCCTTTTTAACAAACTGTTTTGTGTATATTTGATGTATGTTTGTCAAATCTGATGCAGTTCGAGAGAACATCCACTCAACTATCACTGTTCTAAATTAGAAAATCATGTCAAAAATTATTTATCTTACCAGGTGTTTAATGCTGCTAAAATGGACCCAATAAAATGGACCCAATTTAATTTATTTTTTCATGAAATGTAAGTGAATATCATTCTGACATTAAATTCAGAGGATTGCATTAGACAACATGGGAACGTGAAATTTCGATTTTTAAACCGAGCTTTGCTGTGCCTTTTTCAAAATCTTTTATGAAAACACAATGACAAGTTACGTTTGTGTAATTTATGTAAAAATTACCGCAACACCAACACTGGAAGGACATTTTTAACAAAACATAAAAGTTTCGATCTTTCCAAATGTTTTCTACAGTTTTTCTTCTTGTGTGTCTGTTAGAGGGTCGTACTTCGCATTGACTTCGCAAGGCCGGGGCGGAGGAATACTACGTGAAAGCGGCTAGAAAGATCATTGCCTCCACCACTAATAGCGAAAAACTAATCGTGACTGGGCTAAAGACAATTTTCCATCATAGTGTCCGACACCTTTGCATTTAGCAGCAATTTTTTTAAAATAAGAACACTTCGTTATCTTGACCTTCCAGGGCAGTCGTCAGCTGAGTCGTTCGATCTCGTGAAACATAAACCGGCAGTACCATAGTCGGCTTAGTTGGTTTATTTCTTATTCTCTGCACATTACGTATTGGTAATACTTAATTTTAACACGCTCCATAAAATGAGTAACAGGCTTGTATGCCTGCCTAACAGGTGTCATCTTTCTTTTCCCCTCCCTGGAGCCTCCTGATATTGAATTAATTTGGATCAAAATTATGCAAAATTCTCCTGCGTTGCTCTTAGGAAATTGTTATCGACTTGCTTCTGACCTTCAGTTCTACAGCCGATTTTATGACTGTCTGGAGAAGTGTGGCTTACGCATAGGAATGTTCAAGAATAGGTTGAGTGTGTAGGAATGTGTTGCCCGTCGGAATAGGAATGTGTTGCCCGTGGGTGATTTCAATTCAGACTATTTTCGTAGCTACGAGGGTGTTACATCATATACCAGTGGGAAATCAGAGAAATTACAAGATATATCGCAGCAATTTAACCACAGCGTAATGAACGATACGAACCAGCCAACAAGAGTTTAATACAAGTGACACGGAAACTCTGATTGACTTGGTTATTACTAAGTAAGCCGGAGATTATCAAGGGAGCTGTTGAAATAACTGAGTTAGGAATCTCAGATCATAAGCTGGCTCTTGCTACAATATGGTCCAAAATGAAAAGGCCGCCTCCAAAAACAGTCAGAGCCCGCACCTTCAAGAGATTTGACCAAGCATCTTTTGTGATGCGCCTTGGTCAATCTGTTCCGTGTTTAATGATCCGGACGATTGCTATTGGGCGTGGTCACACATATTCACACGCGCCTTACAGGGAAGTTAAAACTAGGAGCGTCTCGGAACCTTGGATAACACCGCAAATACGAAAGGTTGTTACCTCCGACCTGGACAAGGCGAACATACTCAATGAGCATTTCTCAACTATTGGCGAAAAACTGGCCAACGAATTGCCGAAAACCAATTTGACTCAAAGTAACGTTCATGTTTCCATCGTCGCGGCTTGTGTTATAAGCATAAATTTACCGTCTGAGGGTATTGTTTGGCTAAGTTGAGAGCCGATAAAGCCTCAGGACCCGACAGTGTTGCCGCGAAACTTATAAAGTTTGTTGGTGACTCAATTATTCCATCCTTGTTGTTTGTGTCTAATATAAGCGCCACCTGCAACACTGTACCCGCTACATGGAAGGCTGCAAACATTTCAGCTCTCTTTAAAAGGGACGATGAAACTGATAAGCATAATTACAGGCCTATTTCGCTTCTGAGTGTGCCGGAAAAGTTGATGGAGTCTATGATGGCATCAACTATTACCACGCATGTTACTGGACAGGGACTTGGGAACCCTCAGTAGTGGGCGTATAAAAAAGTTCATGTCACCGAGCTGTTGCTAGTGAAGATAACTGATCACTGGAGGCGAGCGCTCGACTAGAATTATGTTGTAGGCGTGGTTTTCGTACACTTTCGTAAGGCTTTTGACGCGATTCCCCACTCCATTCTGCTACGAAAACTTCAGAGTCTTGGTGTAGCTTGGGACTTCTGAAGTTGGATAAGGGATTAGGGAACTTAAGAACCACGACGAAGTTCACGACGACGACGTCTGTTGACTGGGAAAGGACTGGAACGAGAACGTCAGTTTCGGCTGGACGAGGGATAAATACAAGAAAAAGGAAACTTAAGATGCAGTCGATCGGTAGGTCGACGACGACGACTAAAATAACTGAATGTAAACAAACATGTAACTCTGAAGTAGTACAACTGTGATGTTCGTTCGCAACAAAGATTTTTTTCGCTTGAAAAAAGGCGTCAAGTTTGTTCTTTTAAGACGATGCAAGATCTCATTTTATAAGCCGTACGTCTACTTTCATTGACGACGAAGAATTTTTAGTGTTGTCTGACCTTTTCGAATGGAAAAATCTCTGCTTTCCGTACGAAGGTTATTCAACTTTCAACCTGAATGACATGACCGAGTCCGATCGTCTGTCAGAGTTTAGATTTGGAAAAAGAGACATTCCGATGCGATAGCTGTTTTCCATATAAAGTTCATTTCCTCTATATTAAAGATATATGATTTGCCTGACCTAAATACGTACAAATAAATTTGTCACTTACGAGTTCGCTCGCTCGGCCTGCACAGCTCAGTGTTGTCTTCGAAGTAAACACAATTCATCAGTCAAAACTTCAATCAACATCGCTTGTTAGCAGAAAAAAGAAAGGATACCTGGATTTACGAGGTGAAAAAATACAAAGCCCTTAAAAAATGGCTTAAAAAGAGGGAGTTATACCTGCCGACGCTTGTGGACTGCAGGACGACGTGACTCTACTGTGTTTGGCGTCGTCGACGACACCACGACGACGAAATTTGTTAAACGCGCTTGCGCAGTGCACGGTATCTCACTTCCGGTCGTCGTCGACAAAGTCGTCGTCGTGGTTCTTACAGCTGATTTTATTGCTATGTATACACCCTGCATCCGGATTTTCAGACATGATTCGACGGTCATGATTCGACCTGTCATGATTCGACACTAATCACGTGACGTATTGCCTCGCAGTAAACGGTTGCAAAAATTCTGCCGTGGGATCCAAAACAGTGAGATAAAAATCTGGCAGGCAAGGAAAGCTTAGCACTAACGGACATAAGTGTAACGAAGCTAGAATCCCGACAAAAGCGTTTTACCTGAAGAGGAAAGCTTTGTTGCCTGGAAAGCGACGACATGATACAGAAATTATGATAACATGTCATCAAGTGATAAACCTGGAGTTCGACTGCCGAGTTCGAATGTATTTCTGTAGGCGATTTCATAGTGGACGAAATATTATCAATACGGCGAAAAGCAAAATAGTCCGATGGTTTATCGTTTAGTCTTCTTCCGTATGACAAGCTCTCGGTACGTATTTCGCCGTTGGTGAATACCAACCGCAATTGAATTCACATGTAACAGTGATGCAAATTTAGTTATCATGGAGGGAAATTTGTATTTCTTCAAGTTGGTACTTTTTCGTCCTTACTCAGCTTCTGCATGGTTAAAAAATAACAGGAAACCGTGATGTTTTGCAGATGAAATCAACAGATAAATTGATCAGTCTGCCGTTGTGAAAGAATTTGCTTGAGAGTTTGAAAGTTTTGTTTTGTCGACCATTGAAAAATATCACAATGTGCGGTCCTCGACCTATGACCCTAGTGACCACAAATAAAGAAAACCATACATAAAAGAAAGCAACATTTGTTTTTATTGAAAAAGGGTAAAATATGATATTTCTTTAAAGATCAAGGTAGAAGCCCAAAAAAAGTTGAGAAAAGAGCCGAAAAACGTATTGATCGAGACTTCCACACGCCCGATAACATGTATTGCGATTAGATTGCGTGACTTGTATGAGAGGCTGTTGTCTGGAAAGGAGAACAAATTATGGATCACAGTCCTCTTTTTCTGAATTACAAGAGAAACATTCAAGCTATCATTAAAGTAACTTTCAGATTGTGACTGTGTGCTTTGATTCCTGTTGGAATGTAGGATATTCAAGGTAAAATACTGTGCTGCTTGGTAACCTCTCGGTCGAATGAATCATGACGGTCGAATCATGTCTTAAAATCAGGGTGTATACACTGCACTGAAATCAGCTGTAAGTTCCCTATTATCTCTCTGGAAGAACGCAAGTGACAACGATTAATGGGTTTCAAACTCAAGCTATGCAAGTTACTTTTGATGTACCACAATTGTCTGTACTGGGCCCCACTCTGTTTTCCCTTTTTTTGTAATTACCTGCCCAGTATCACTGAGGGAATAGAGGGCGACCCACAGTTTCACATGTACGCAGACGATACCACCGTTTATGTTTCGGCTCCGACTTATGATCTGGTAGCTTCCAAGTTAAATGAAGTCCTAGCAGGGCTATATACATGGTGTTGTGAGAGTTGTCTCACTCCCCATCCTACCAAGACGGAGTATACGCTGCTCAGTGGATGCAGGCAATTGACTGGGCCACTGAAAACAAGCTACTAAGATGGGCGATTTTGTTATCGAGGAGGTTGTTTCTACAAGATGTCTACGTTTCCAAACAGACAATGCCCTTAAATAACATCATCATGTATCGGAACTAGCGAAATCGTTTACCTGAGATCAGACCCAATTTGAGCGGTTCTCATACATTCTCTCTAACCGCTAACGCGTTTCGCCATTCCCGCGGGAATGTTATTTACAAAGCGAAACGAAAATAGAGCCTGATCTCAGGTTAAGACAGGCGAGAACTG